TGTATACCTTAACAAATTATTATAATTATAGTTGATTTTACATTTGTCTTTTAACCTTCATTGTAAGTTTTTAAGTGGTTAATCCACTATCTTTACTGTATATTTGGCTTTTCCAATCAGATTTTTACTTTCATATGTTTTCTTGTTACTAGTTAGTACCATTTCTTTTCAGCTTGAAGACGTACCTTCAACATTTCTTGTGAGGCTGGTCTAGTGGTATGAAATCCTTTGTCTTTTACTTGTCTGTAAAACTGTCTCTGCTTTATTCTGAATGATAGTCTTGCTGGGTAGAGTAGTCTTTTCTTTCAGCACTTTGAATGTATCATGCCACTTCTTTTAGGTCTGAAGGATTTATTCTGAAAAACCAGGTGATAGTCTTACAGGTACTTATGTGATAGTCTTTATATGTACCATGTTTTTCTCTTACAATCTTTAAGATTTTCTCTTTTTCTTTAACTGTTGACATTTTAATTATATTGTGTCATAACATATTTCCTTCCTAGGTTGATTAAATTTTCAGCCGTTATTTCGTTAAATAAGTTTTCTATCCATTCCTCTTTCTCTTTCCTTTCTGGGACCCTATAATGTGAATGTTATTCCACTTGATGTTGTCTCAAAGGTCCCATAAGCTATCTTCACTTTGTTAAATTCCCTTTTTTTATTGTTGTTATTGTAGTTTTTCTATTTGGATGAGTTCCATTGACCTGTTCTCCAGGTTGATGATCTGGTCTTCTGCCTCATCTAAACTGCTGTTGAGACTCTTCAGTGTATTTTTTAGTTCACTTATTGTATTCTTCAGTTCCTTGACTTCTGTTTGATACTTTCCTACATTTTCTGTCTCTTTGTTTGAAGTTCTCTCTGGGTGCATCTATTCTTCCAGTTTAGAGAACATCTTCATGACCATTACTTTGAACTCTTTGTCAGGTAAATTACTTACCTCCCTTTTATCAAGATTTTTTTTTTTCTGAGTTTTATCTTGTCCTTTCTTTTGGAGTGTATTCTTGCTTTCTCATTTTCATTTTCTCCATACTTTTGTTTCTGTGTATTAGGTGCAACAGCTACCTCTCCTATTCTAGAAAGAGTGCCCTTGTATATGTGATGGAACTTTCATTCACCTTGCCCAACTTCTTGGTTGACTCTTAAAAATTTGTGCTTATCTATGTAGCCTAATTTATTTTTAATAAGGTAGAACCCAAGGGTGGGATGGGCAGCTTGCTCTGGCAGTACCCAAGGGTACACAGCATGTGAACAGAGTGAGCCTGCTGGCTTCAGATAGACTGTGGGGGATCCCTGAGGGAGCCCAGGACGAGAGTGTGCCAACTGGAAATAGTAAGACTGGGAGATCCCATGGGCAGGACAGGCTGGATAGCTGCTGCAGGACTATGGGAGAGCATGGGAGTGGAGAAGCCCTACAACACTAGCAATGTTGAGTGAGAATTCAAAAATGGTGCCCACTAGCATCTTCTCCTCTGGATAAAGTCCTACCAGATCGCTGTGTCTCCAGCATGTTCTTGAATATTAACTAATGAATCTCCATTGCATATAGAAAGATGCTTTCCAAACTGATTTATTTTTTTAATTCCTGGAATAAGTGAGAGTTGGTTTAAGACTCTTAAAAGCAGACTTTCAATTTTCCATAGCCTGTTGGATGTCCTGGGTGTAAGCCTTTTTGCTTTGCAGAGTCAGATATTTGAGGTATTAATCTCTCCAGTGTAGGTCCCAAGGGTTGGGGTGTCTGATATAGGGTACAAACCCTTCACTCAAGAAGAAACTCCAAATTTGTGAGATACCCCTAAATTGTGATTATCCATGCTGAGTAGGGATTTTGGCAAGACCAAATCTCTGATTCTCTTACCTGTTCCTTTTTTCTTTTGTTGTGGAGAAGCTCTTAAGACAGTTTTCAAGTGTTTTTCAGGGGAATTCATCCCTGTGTAGCATTAGAATCAGGGTGTCCATGGGAGGAGTTGAGTTCGGGATCTTTCTACACCACCATCTTGAGCCATTCCTCCATTCACTCAATACTTATTGTGCATTTATGATAGAGGACTTTCTCTTGTCTTCCAATCTTCTCTTACAATGCTTGTATTTTACTTCCTTGAACATACAGAATGTATTCTAATAGTTATTTTAACAGTATTTTCTCCTAATTTGATCATCTGTGTCACTTAAGAATCTTTTTAATTGATTGAATTTTCTCTTTGTTATGTGTCATATTTTCCCAGTTATATACTATTCTGGTAATTTTTGATTGGGTTCAAGTATTAAGGATTTTATGTTTTGGAGTGCTGGTTGTTTTTATATTCTCTTACTTTATTTTTAGATATGGTAAGTAACTTGGGAACATTTTGATGTTTTGAGGATTGCTTTTAGGCTCTTTTAGTGGATCCAGAGCAACTTCAGCCTAAGATTAACGTGGTTCCATTAATGAGGCAATATTCTTCTAAAGGGGTGACAGAGTGTCCTGAAATTTAGGAAGTTTTTCTACTCTGGATGGTTGGGATGCAAATTATTCCTGGTTCTGAAATTATTGTCTTTTATCTTTACCAATGGTACTTTTCCTATCCACAGAAAGTCTTCCTGGCATGCAATCACTGATCAGTAGTCAGTTAAAGATTGGTTGAGGACACATTGCAGGTCTCTCTACTGTCTTTATTGTGTAGCTCTTTTTTCTTACATTCACTGATCCACATGTTCTAGCTACTTTAACCACTTCCAACTGAGAACTCTCCCTATTTTGTTGGGGTTGTCCCTCTATGAGGTGCAGCCTAGAAACCCTCTTCAGGTAGAAGGCTATGATGGTCTTCTGAGGCCACTGTCTTGAGCTACTTGTTGATAAGTGTCTGGAAACTGTTATTTAATCTGTGTCTAATGTTGTTTGCTGTTTACAGTGGAAGGGTATGATCTCCTGCTACTCCACTGCAGTTGAAAGTGGAATTATTCTCCTTTTATCATTTCTACTAATTCCTTGATTATCATACCTATTTTTTTTGCCTAGAAAAGCGGTACTTAGAAAAGTGGTTTGAGTTTCAGAATATGAGCTTAGAGAATTCTTTTGAGAGTCTTTTGCAAACATGGCATTCTCTAGAAGTAGACTTATAGAGTTATAGAAATAGAGCTATAGAGTTATATAAATAACAACTATATTCTATATCACAAGCTTGTTAGGAGAGAGGCATTAAGAAACCATTACTTTCTCACGCATTTGTGTACTTTTAAGCACTTAGCACAATATTTCACATGAGGTAGAGAAATAACTCATTTTATCAGAAATAACACTAGAATTTAGTTAGCCTGTTGCTTATATACCTGTGTAATCCTAGGTTTCTTCATCTGTGAATTAAGAGGTGGGAAAATTATACTTAAAATTTTTGTTCTCTAATCTGTGAATGAGGGTGGGAGGGAAAACAGACATCTATGAGCTAATTGTGAGCTTTTAACCAGATGGAATTTATAGGGAAAGTGTCTTACAAACCACAATTTGTTTAAACCTCTCTGCATTATTATTGTTGTTGTTGTTATTGTTATACAAATTAATATTGTCTATTGGATGGTATAGGAAATATATTGAATCATTAATTACTATGAGGCTCTATATATTATATTCTAGACAAAAATGTTAAAATATCATTTTTGTTATGTTTTAGATTCATAAACATACAAAAATATATAAAAATACAGATATATATATACTAATGCTTATACTATACTAATAGTATTATATTAATATAATATTTAATATACTAATACTTAAAATACCTTGCTATAAGTATTTTACAAATCTTACTTTTGCACCTCAATCTTCTTATGACATTTTTTCACATTTCATGTTATCTTTAGAGATGTCAATAGACTGGAAAAAACAGACGCTTGAGTAATAGAAAGATAAGTATTATATTGAGATATGTTCCATAGCTTTCTGGAAAGTGAAACCAGGATTCACTGGAATGACCATTTAGTGTATTGAAGCAGTGTTCTCTCATTCTAGGAATTTTTTTTAATAATTTTTCAGAGATTTTTTAAAATTTACATGTCTGTGGATAGATACACCATTCTCTAAGGATAAATCCTAAACATTTTATATCTGTGGGCCTTACAGTCAATTCAGTCATTCAAAATACCATTACATGAAAAATATAGAAGGAAAACTAAAGAAATACAAACAGAAGAGGAAGAGTAAGTGAGGAGAATAAATTAGAATGGAAGGGACTATACATTATGAGAAGGTGTCACACATGTTAAGGGGAATTAAGTTTTAAGTATATTCAAAATATTTTTTACTGTAGGTATTGTAGAAAAAAATTGAAAAACATTGTTTTAAGAGACAACAAAACCTAGAATTGGAGGAGTGTGAAGACTATTTCAATTCAGTAAGAACTTGGAAAATATTGAAAATTATTGATATTGAACAGGGAACATATTTAAGAAAAGTGATTTCTTCTCATTCATGAATTAAATAATCATATTCAGCATAATTCCTCTAATGGCACTTGCAAATAATTGTTTCATCTTACTCCTTTGTTTGTAATACTTATTTGCAATATAAATTGGTAATGTATTTAAATTGCATTTACTTTGAAACTTCTTCAAAGGATATTTCTATAGAAATGATCTTAAATGTTTCCTAGGGACTGAGTAAATAGATGTGTGTTGATTCACGAAACTAAAAAGTATATCTGAAATTAAGATCAGCAAAACAAAATTTTTTCCTAATAAAGTAAAAATTGAACCAATGTGCTTTTTTGTCTAAAATGAGTGTTAAGATTTCAGCATAGCTCCAAAGTTATTCTCGTCTCTAAATTCAAAGCAGTTTTCAAGCTTAATTTTAATGCCCAGTAATTGTGTTTTTCCTGAGCTATTAAAAGTATACTTGTGATTGGAATATAACCTTGTTTATCAATAGCCATGAAGTGATTAATAATGAGTGATCAAAAATTGAATACAGTCTCCTTCTGAGTTATGAAGTCAGATTCATGAAGATCAACCTCTGTTTTCTTCTTTAGGAATGGCAAGTTCATTGAAGAAAACGAAAAATACATATTGAAAGGAAGCAATACAGAACTCACTGTCAGGAACATAATTAATAGTGATGGGGGTCCTTATATCTGCAGGGCCACAAATAAAGCAGGAGAAGATGAAAAACAGGCATTCCTGCAGGTCTTTGGTAAGTATTATAGCATAGTGGTTAAAATTATGATGGCTAGAGGGAGGTCTGAATCAAATTCTACTCTGTCATTTATACATCACTAACTTTCCAAAAGTAAATGTGATTTCTCATCTGAAATATATATTAACATTGCAGTTACCAAATAGAATCATTTTAAGAATTACATGAAATGATGTATGTATATTCTTTCAAAATATTGACTGACTCATCACAGAAGATGGAAGAAAATTTATTTAAATTACACATACTGGGACCCTTACAATTTATATATAATATTGGTTGGTCTTCATAAACCTTTAAATGACACATGTTCAGATTAGTTTTACTTTTATTATACTTCAAAACCATACTTCTATAAAGCTATAATTAGAACATGTTGATATGTAACTATAAATAAATACTACTTTTTCATTTTTATTAAACGAAATATTAATACCTTTTATATTTACCAAGAGCCATATTACCTTCTTTGAGGAAGTTACAAAAAGTAGATTAACTAGTAAGGGTTATTAAATTATTATTATTGATTTAGCTTCCATTAAGCTGATAAGAAGAAAAGCATTTTTTCTAGTGTATTTAGAATATACCACTGTCTTTCAAAAGCATAATACTAAAAATTAAATGCACTAATAATATTTAATATGTTTTCTCCTTTTTTCAAAGCACTGTTATCAAAACTCTTTCACAACAAAGAGCAAGGCAAGGAAAAAGGGAAATTCTTTAGGAGTAAGAAGGACCATGGTTCATGCAGAGGAAAAAGGAAATAAACTTAAAGCTGTTAGAAATTATAGGAAGCCTATATCTTGTTCTAACACTATTCCTTACAAGATTGTTCTCTTTAAAACCTACACTAAATGAATATGACTCAGCGTAAAAATAAATTAATTAATTACAAATGATAGTTTCTGAGATAATTCCAAAGGGTAGATAATCTTAACTTGCATCAAAGCACTTTTATGAAATATTAGTTACTTGTTTTTATTAGGGTGGCAGTAAGCGAGAACAAAGAGATAAATAAAAGAACATTTTTAATACTTTCATTTTTTTAAATAGAAAATACTGCATGATATGCTACATTGCTGTTATAATCACTTTTGTATAGTAACACTGAACAAATTTGTGTTGTGTTTGACACAAAATCAAGTATATGGAGTAAAAACCAACCTAAATCCATTAAAGTCAATGGAGTAAACACTGAGTTAGTAAAAATTATATATGGTATATTTCCGATAGTTGGAATCTAATTTTCTAAGATTAAAAACAACTTATTTATAGTCCATGATTAATTCCATTTAAAGATTAAATAAACTGTTACTTTTTCTGAATTAACAAATGTTAGGTTTTATCTTTTTTATGTTCTACCAAAATATAAGAATAAACTCTTCTTTACAATCATAAAACTCTGTGCTATCATGTAAATTTGTGGATGGACGTAGTTTTTAATATAAAAATAATTCTCATTATTGAAGTCATAATTACAAAGAAATGATTAGCTACAGTGCTTAAAATATTGTTAAAATAAACTGAGGTAAATATAAATCAATTGGAATATCAGAAAATAACATGTATATATACTTACTTCATAAATCTTTTAAATATTGTGCATAAATATACTTTATACATATTCAGGATACAATCATCATTTCCCTTCTTTGGCAAGATAATTTTTAGAGCTTAAGAGTTAATCACTAAATAAGCTGATGTCACACATAAATACACACACACTCAGAAACATGGGTACCATGTGGCTTTAAAAAAGAAAGTTTTAATTTTATAGCTTTAAGAGAAGAAAAAATAATTAAGTGTCTTTTAAATTGCAACATTTTGACAGGAATTATAATTTGTATGCTGATTTCTAAGCCACTTCAAACTATTTTTATGATAACGGATGAGAATTATTTTCTAAAGTTTTACTCCTGTGTATTCAACTGTCTCTTGGCACTCCTTTAAAGCAAAGCATGCTGGTAGAACTGCTGCAAAGTTGATAATTGTGTAATGTATTAATGTGGACTTACATGCCCACCATGGCTTTTAAGTCTGAATGGTACTATTCTCCTCCCATACAGATTGAGTAATGTATACATTCTTTACAGTACAGCCTCACATAATACAGCTTAAAAATGAGACTACGTATGAGAATGGTCAAATCACACTTACATGTGAAGCCGAAGGGGAGCCCATTCCAGAAATCACTTGGAAAAGAGCAGTAGATGGCATCACGTTTTCTGAAGGCGATAAGGTAACAGGAACTTGATATATAGTGATTTTCAATACGATTGTATTTTCAGAGTTTTGCCTATTAGTAAATCTCATCTGGGACTCCAGCTTTCCAAGTAAATTGTAGGAGTATAAAAGATTGCTTAATTTTTAAAAGAGTAACTCTACGAGTCATTCTAAAAATAAGGTCAGAGGAGAAAAAAGTGAAAGTATGATATTTAAAGATGTTTTTCATTAAGCCACAAAATATTCTTAAATGTTGATATTCTTAAATTTGCTTACATGGAGTTTTGGCATACTTTGTATCTGTAAACTTTCTTATTGCAATTTTAACATTCCGCCTCCAGTACCCAATGTTGTGAAAATGAAAGTCATTCATATTCACCAGATTCTGGCTGTTATTAACACTTTACTCTTTAGAATTATCTTTGCGTAGTAGATTAGGTTTCTGCTTTCATATAATTTAGAATCTAAGAAAGAGAAGTAAGTGCAGCACAGCATTCTGGCAATTGTCATCCCCATGTAAATAGTAACCTGTCACCAGAATGCATTCAAGTTACTAAGAAACTAATTAATAGATTTTCATTATTATTTTTCATAATTCTCATATAAAACTGCAAAATATAGAAGAAAGTGAAACAGAAAGAAAAGATAGTGAATTAATGATGGGATGGGATTGACATTTCACACACCTAAAAGAGGGTAATATTAAGCTTAGATCTCTTTTCTCAATATTGAAGAGAAACTCCTTTAACCTTTCATTAATTTAAATCAAGTTCTGCAAAACAGCCGCTTCTAAACTATAAGTGCATTTGACTCACCAACCTTGGTAGCAGAAAAATTTGAAACCACCTTATTTGAAACATACTTTCTGTCCCTCCAACTCATTATGTAATTTTTAACATGCTAACTCCATAAATTGACAAAACAGCAATCTCCTTATTTATTTACTCCTTATTCTTTGCAAGAATTATATTCATATATATGATATGTATACATGTATATATCATACTTCTTTACCTCGTTTTATCCTCATGATGGCATTTTTAAGTTTATTTATTTATTTTGAGAGAGAGAGAGAGAGACCACATCCACAAGCAGGGTAGAAGTAGAGTGAGAGAGAGAGACTCCCAAGCAGGCTCTGCACTGTCAGCGTGGAGTCCACTGCAGGGCTCTAACCATGAACCCCGAGATCACGACCTGAGCTGAGACCAAGAGTATGACCCCTGACTAACCGAGCTACCCAGACATCCCAAATGATGGCATTTTTAAGACATTACATCATTTTTGGTAATAATTATACTATTTTGATTTAATTATTTTGTATGTATACAAATTGAAAATGAAATCTATAAAATATCTTCTGACAATCCAGTGAAATGATATAGAGTTTGCTTTAAAATTTTCTTAACAGGAAGTCAGATATTATTATGGCACAGTTGTCAAATCTTAAAGGAGTTATATTTCAGATATACAAAACTCTAGGTAATTGTTTTTCTGTCTATGTAGTATGTTACTTGAGACAAGATCACTCTCAAGAATAATGATTTTCATATCTATAAACTCTTATTAATTACACCTTCATATTCCTAACTCATGTTTTCATTATTTTCCTGTCTAAATATTCCTAAGAGCTCGCATCTTAAAGATAGTATTACTCTTCATTTAATAGATGTTTCATTATGTGTATAGCAAAAATGAGAGATATATTACATTCATTTATTTTATTAATGAAAAGTTAGAAAGTAACCAGAAGGCTGTGATATTTTATTTTATACTCTCAGCCCACCCAAAACTATATACAGAAATTTCTTCTCTAGTAGGTATGAAGAATAATCAGCTATTTTTGTTTGAAAAGAACTTTACCTGTTAAACTAATCATCTTTTAGAAAATTATTTGGTTTATTTGCTATAAAACAATTATAGAAACCCATATGAGCTTTGTTTTTCCAAATGCAATTTTTTCCAGTGAGTAAAAAAATTAAGGTTAATCACTTTTTATCATGACATTTCTCGAAAATTATTTTAATGTTCCTGTCTTATTTTCTGGGTGGTAAGTCTTTCTCCTATCATTGCGAGTTTCTTGAACAACCAAAATTCAAAAACTGAATGGTTGAGTTGAACTTTAAAGTAAGACATATCTAATTTGATTTTCAGCTCTGCCATTTGGCAATATTATTTGAACTCTTTTTTTTTAATGTTTATTTTTGAGAAAGACAAACAGAACTCAAGTGGGGGTGGGACAGAGAGAGAAGGAGACACAGAATCTGAAGTAGGCTCCAGGCTCTGAGTTGAGCTGTCAGCACAGAGCCCAATGTGGGGCTCAACCCCATGAACCACGAGATCGTGACCTGAGCTGAAGTCAGACTCTTAACCAACTTAACAATGGTGCCCCGAATTTGAACTCTTATTGATATGAGTTTCATCAACTTTAAAATGTGGATAATGCTTATTTCCCTTAAAGGTGTAAGAAACATGAGGAGTATATCAAACTCTATATTTTGTAAATATTCAATAAACTTTATTTTTTGTTACATTACTTTGTTATATTACATAATTTTCAAGCATACTTTATCTTGTTTCTGTTATTCTAAATAAACTCTAGGTTTTTAAAAAATTTTTTAAATATTGATTTATTTATTTTATTTATTTTTTGGGAGGGAGAGTGAGACAGCGTGAGCAGGGGAGGGGCAAAGAGAGAGGGAGACACAGAATCTGAAGCAGACTCCAGGCTCTGAGATGTCGTCACAGAGTCCAACATGGGGCTAGAACTCATGAACTTCAGGATCATGACGTGAGCCAAAGTCAGACACCTAACAGACTAAGCCACCCAGGCGGCCCTAAACGCTAGTTTTTTTTTTGTTTGTTTGTTTTTTTCCTAAACTCTAGTTTTTAATAGACTATGTAAAGTCTGGTAACTTAGGCTTAATTACTATCATGGAGTATGTTCAGATCATAGCTCTTTTGTCATGGAAAGTATGAGATTGTATTTACCATAAGAATCACTGGAGAGCCTTTAAAGTGCACTTTCTAGAATCCCAGTCATCAAGACTGATTTAGTATGTCTAACACAAGACCTAGAAGTGCATATTAAAAAATTCATAAGGTTGGTATCATATGGATTGACTTCAGGCCATACTCTGGAAGACAATTTTCTAAGTCAAATGAAATTTAACAACTAATCCTTTTGCCAGAAAAATGCTCTTAACAGATTATTTGGTGCCTGATTGGAGCTTGGGAAATATTGAACAAAACAAATCAAAACTTCCCATCATGCATACGCTATCAAAGTTTTGATGAAACTGCTAATTGTGTAGGTCATAGAGAGTGAAATAGCATCAATATAATATGGCTCATACTAATAACTTCATCCTAAAATATAACAATGCATTTAGCAAATATATTCATCCAAGTAGATTTACAAGGCACGGGGTTTCAATTAATAGTATCCCCTTTCCTTGCCTAAATTCTCAATCACCAGATAAGACAAAAGAAATCAATTGGGATAAAATAACATGTGACTTAAATCTGCAGGTAAGTGAATGCTTTTATACTGAACTATAGAATTAGACTTAACCAATACAGTCTAGGTAGCATTAGACCTTGTAGCCTCCACTGTGGGCTACACTGAGGGCTCACTGCTAAGGTTACCGTCATGGCAGAGAGCAAGGGAGAACCTGGGGTCTCAACAGGAAGGTCCTTTCTAAAAATAAAAAAGAGTAGCTAGGAAAAGCATATTCAGTATGATGTGCCCCTAGTTAACAATCAAACATCTGCCTGGTTCTCATGGGAAAGATTTATTAAGGATTTGCAAAGTCTAGGACTGGTATGTTAGCAGACCCACTTCCCAGGGAATAAATGTTAGGAGTCCATGAGAAGTGTTCACTACCCAGCAAATATTATGTTAATAGCATCTTAATAAACACTGTATATATAATGTCTCAATTTATGTTCTGGTAGCCTTACTACATAATAAATGACCCCAGAACATAGTAGCACAAAACAACCATTTTCTTTTGCTCATGATTTTGTGGACCACGAATTTGAGGAGGCTCAGATAAGTGGGTATCACAAGGCATCTCGAATATGCTCACATGTAGATGCTTTCTGTAGGTATAGATTTGTAGTATGATTGAACTATACATATTAACATACCATAAAATATCCTTGCATAATATTGTCCTTCAGAAATGACAACAAAAATGATGGTGCTTAAACACAGAGCTCTCTCTCTCTCTTTTAATGTTTTATTTATTTCTAGAGAGAAAGAGAGAGAGGCAGTGTGAGCAGGAGAGGGTCAGAAAGAGAGGGAGATACAGATACCAAGGCAGGCTACAGGCTCTGAGCTGGCTGTCAGCACGGAGCCCAACGTGGGGCTCAAACCCGCGAACCATGAGATCATGGCCAGAGCTGAATGCTTAACCGACTGAGCCACGAAGGCGCCCCTGCACAGAGCTCTCTTAAACTCATGACTATCTCACCCTAATTCACTTTAATGCATTTTATCTACCTTTAAAATAATATACGTAATTTTGAAAACCTTAGGAAATTTCAAAAGCATGTGTAATGTGTAAGAAAAAGAGTATCCACTTGCTTTAAAAATATTTTCTTCTTAGAGAAAGACAAATATCAATGACTTCACTCATATGAGGACTTTAAGATACAAAACAGATCAACATAAGGGAAATGAAGCAAAAATAATACAAAAACAGGGAGGGGGTCAAAAACATAAGATATCCTTAAATATGGAGAACAAGGGCTTATTGGAGGGGTTGTGGGAAAGGGGATTGGCTAAATGGGTAAGAGGCATTAAGGAATCTACTCTTGAAATCATTGTTGCACTATATGCTAACTAGGATGTAAAATTTAAAAATTAATAATAAAAAATTAAAAAATAAAACCAAAATTATTTTCTAATATTCATTGCTACTTCAAAATAATATTTTGTTCTTCATTTAAAAAAATTTAACGTTTTTATTTATTACTGAGAGACACAGAGAGACATAGTATGTGCATGGAGGG